TTGTTGTTGAATGAATCAATAATGAAATCCTATACAGTAATGAAAATGAATGAACTTTGCATGTATCAAGCTAGACTAATCTAAAAGTGTTTGTGTTGAACATATATACACACACACGATACATATATAAGCATAAATCTTTATATGAATTTATGCATAAATATATCTGCTATATACATACATATTGTATATTGTATATTGTATATTGAATATAACATACAATTGAAAATATACAATTGTATATTGTATGTATATAGCAGATTACCTTTATATACATACATATTGTATATTGTATGTATATAGCAGGTTAAGATTTAAAATGTTCTAAAAATAATGTTTAGGGACACATGCATGTGGAGTAATTATCAAACAAAACAAAGAATGCTGAAAGCAACTCAGGAAAATGACTTGGGAGCACTGTGAACAAGGCTTCCAAATTTGGGGTAAATTTCTCTTTTGTAACCCAAGTGTTGGGTATGTGGGTATTTGTTTTATTATTATTAAACTGTGGGCCAGGCACGGTGGCTCATGCCTGTAATCCCAGCACTTTGGGAGGCTGAGATGGGCGGATCATGAGGTCAAGAGATCAAGACCATCCTGGCCAACATGGTGAAACCCCATCTTACTAAAAATACAAAAATTAGCTGGGTGTGGTGGTGCGTGCCTGTAGTCCCAGCTACTCGGGAGGCTGAGGCAGGAGAATTGCTTGAACCTAGGAGGGGGAGGTTGCAGTGAGCCAAGGGCGTGCCACTGCACTCCAGCCTGGTGACAGAGTGAGACTCCATCTCAAAAAAAATAAAAACAAACAAACAAAAACTGTGCCTATGCATACATCATCTTCTGTGTATGGTACACATTAAAATAATTTAAAATAACGTAACTATCTTGTGGTTTTGATTTGCATTTCCCTGATGTTTAGTAATGAACATTTTTCATATACCTGTTGGCCATTTGAATGTCTTTTTGAGAAATGTCCATTCATGTCCTTTGCCTTTTTTTTTTTTTTTTTTTTTTTGAGGCAAGGTCTCACTCTGTCACCTTGGCTGGAGTGCAGCGGTGCTATCATTGCTCACTGCAGCCTCAACCTCTGGGCTCAAGCAATCCTTTGCACTCAGCCTCCTGAGTAGATGGGACTACAGGCCCGCACTGGCATGCTTGGCTAATTTTGTTTATTTTTTGTAAAGACAAGATTTCACTATGTTGCTGAGGCTGCTCTCGAACCCCTGGGAAGTGATCCATCCACTTCCACCTCCCAAAGTGCTGGGATTACAGGCATGAGCCATTGTACCCATTTTTAATGGGACTGTTTGTATACTGTTGTGTGTTTTTTTTTGTTTTGTCTTTTCTTTGAGATGGCATCTCGCTCTGTCACCCAGGCTGGAGTGCAGTGGCATGATCTGGGCTTATTGCAACCTTCACCTCCCAGGTTCAAGCAATTCTCCTGCTTCAGCCTCCCGAGTAGCTGGGGTTTCAGGCATGCAACACCACGCCTGGCTAAGTTTTGTATTTTTAGTAGAGACAGGGTTTAGCTACATTGGCCCGCTGGTCACGAACCTGTTGGGTTATTTGAATTCTTTTTATATACTGAGTATTAGTCCTTTGTTGGATGAGTAATTTACAAATATTTTCTCTCAAGAAGTTGTCGCTTCACTATGTTGTTTCTTTTGCTGTGCAGACACTTTTTAGATTAATATAGTTCTTTTTTTTCTTTTTGTTGCTTGTGCTTTGAGGTCTTAGCCATAGACCTCAAAAACACAGGCAACAACAACAAAAAATCTTTGCCTTGATCAATGTCCTGAAGAGTTGTCTCGATGTTTCCTTCTATTAGTTGTATAGTTTGGGGTCTTTAAGTCTTTAATCTATCTGGAGTTGACTTTTATACATGTTGAGAGAAAAGGGGTCCAATTTCATTCTTCTGCATGTTGTTATCCAGTTTTCCCCAGAACCATTTATTTAAAGACATAGTCCTTTCCTCATTGTGTGTTCTTGGCACCTTTGTTGAAAATCAGTTGGCTACAAGTGGGTGCACTGATTTCTGGGTTCTCTTATTCTGTTCCGTGGGGGTGTGTGTGTCTATTTTTATACAAATATCATGCTCTTTTGTTTACTAACACCTTCTAATTAGATATAAGCTCACTCTAGTTAGAATGACTATTATTAAAAAGACAAAACAAAACAAAAAAATGACAGATGCCAGTGAGGATTTGGAGAAAAGAGAACTCTTATACACTATTGGTGGGAATGTAAATTAGTACAGCCACTGTGGAAAACAGTGTGGAGATTTCTCAAAAAACTAAAAATGGAACTACCATACAATCCAGCAACCCTACTACTGGTAAAGGGGGAGAAATCAGTATATGAAAAGGATACCTGCCCTCACGTTTGTCACTGCACTATTCACAGTAGCCAAGATATGGATTCAACCTAAGTGTCCAGCAGTAGATGAATGGATAAAGAAAATGTCATACATAGACACAGTGGAATCCTATTCCGCCATAAAAATGAATGAAATAATGTATTTACATCAACATGGATGGAGCTGGAGGTCATTATGTTAAGTGAAATAAGCCAGGCACAGAAAGACAAGTACTGCATGTTCTCACTTATATTCGAGAGTTAGAAAACTTGATCTCATGGACATAGACAACAGGAGGATAGATACCAAAGGCCAGCAAGGCCAGGAAGGCCAGAAAGGAAGGGGAATGAAGAGAGGTTGGTTATGGGTACAAACATACAGTTAGATGGAAAAAATAATTTCTAATGTTTAATAGCAGACTAGGGTGACTCTACTTAGCAATCATATTATGGATATTTCAAAGTAAACAGAAGAGAGGGCTTGAAATGATACCAACGCATAAAAATGATAAACGCTTAAGGTGATGGATACCCAGTACTGTGACTTGATCATTACACAGTCTATGCAGGTAACACTCACATGGATATTATGTAAATTATTTTGTATCAACAGAAAAATAATCACAACCAGCGGTGGGAGCGACAGCACAGGGATCCTCCTAAATGCATCTAATTTCGGATTTTGTTTTTCAAAGCACTCCGCTTGCCTAACAAGTGCGCGGGCTGTAGGCAGCACGGCCAGCAGCGGGAGGCCTCCTGCCTCGTGTGCGGCTTGCGGACTCCCTCGCCCTGCAGCGCCTACGCGGACTGTCGCCCTTGAGAGCTCTCGCTGGCGGAGGCGGTTCCTCTTCCGGAGGTCGCCGCGCGCACCGCGGACTCCCCTGGGAAGTGTAGTCGGCGCGGGGCCCGAGGCATGCCGGGAGTGGTAGTTCTCCGGGGGTCGGCGGGGTTTCGGGGACAGTTCGCGGCCTTTCGGGGGTTCTCCTGGCTTGGGCCATCCCGGCTTGGCTAGAATTGCCGGCCTGGGGCCCAGGCGCTCGCAGTGGCCTCTTCCGGGCCGGCGTGGATCCAGGCCTCTCCAGCCAGTGGGCCGCGTGCAGCCTCGTCTGGGCTTCTGGGACCAGCCTGCGCGGCTAGAGGCCCTGGGCCACTGGGTCCGGGGCGCGTCGGGAGCGGCCTGGACTGCCGGAGACCCGCGGAGGGAGCGCCTCGCCGGGTGAGCTGGGTGCGCCGGGCCGTTGAGGTGGGGGTGCCAGCCTTTTGTCGTTGTTCATGCTGCGGTTTTCTTCTGTGCGTTTTCTCCTCAGTAACGGAAATAATAAAAGCAGTAGCTGATGCCCCCGAGAGCGCTCCGGTGCCAGGCAGCGGACTAGCGCGTCGCCCGAACGCACCCGCGCATCCCTGCTAGCGGAGAGGTGGTTCCCGCCCTGTCGGGGGAAACCGAGGCAGGGTGGCGAGGCCATTGTCCAGGTGTAACTGGGCCTGGCGCTTGGGTCAGGATTCCCTTCCCGGCTCTACTACTTTCCGTTGTGACTTTGGGCGGGTCACGACGTTCTGATTCTCCGTCTCCGTCACGTCTGTAAATGCGAAGATTAAAAATACTGCCTGGAAAGCGCTCACCGCTTCCTGGGAGGAGGTGCTTGTCGCCGCGTGACCGAGGCTTTGCACGGCGGCTTCCCCTGGGCTGGTCGAGGCACCCGCTGGAGCTGGCCCAGCAGAGCCCCAGGTTGGCTCCATGCCGCGGGCACCCTGAGGAGTGGCAGCAGATCGCAGGCCTGGAGGCCCTCACACTTGCCTGGCTGCCCCAGGCAGCCTCTGCCCCTGCTCTCTGTGGGGCAGGCACGGTTTCCACCCCTCCCACCTGGGGTTTGTGTTTGGGCAGCGACAGCTGTTTCTGTCTGTGGATGCCATTAGAGGCGGCACCTGTGGAGTATTATTTAGGAGGGACAGCAAAGCTCTGGCATGTGTCTTGGGTGGGGACAGTGTCTTAATCCTGTTACTTTGGGTAAAGTCCCAGACGAAGATGTAGTAAGAGGCTGGGAAAGCTGAGTGGTTGGATTATGCCCACGGTTTCTTGGGGAGAACACAGCACTCCACGGAAGGTCCACTCAGGGCAAGCAGTGGGGTCTGTCACGAGGGTAGAGATGCGGGGAAGCCTCTATCACGGCTTCCACAGGGAGGAAAGGGCGAGGCAGGGCAGTCAGGCTGAGGATCAGCTAGCTAGGCTGCAAAGTGGCACCCGAGGAAACGAGATTCATTGCAACTGTTCGGGCGTGCAGTTTAAAGCTAGCTAAGGGCTCCAGACATCCATGGGTGAGGCACAGTTTGCCTAGAGGTAGCTGAGAGGCCCTCAAGTGGAAGTTAAAGAGTCGAAGTGCAGAAATAGAAGTATGGAGAAGGGATAGAGGTTGGCGAATTGCCCTCGTGAATGCTTGTCTTGGTTTACGTCATTATGTGGGGTGGCTTTTTTGAGACCTGATGGACGTTATGGGCGGTTGTAACTTCCTCTGTCCAAGCCATCTCCTGACGCCAGGGTTCCTCTTGACACCTTTTTCCTCTGCAGACCCGCTGTGTCCACACTGCTCTCCCTGGGCAGGAGCACTGAGGAGGAAGGGATGGCTGTGGATCTGCTGCCCGCTCAGGTGAGAGTGAGTGAAGTTTGTCTTTTTCATCCGTTGGCTTCTGGATGCAGAGATGGTAGACACGTTTCCAGACTCTGTCCAGGTACTTTTTGGTCCAACTAAAACGATGAAGAATCCGGAGCCTCAAAAGTTTTTCCCAGTGTCTTGGGCTTAGTGAGGGGCTGCTGAGGAATGTGCCTCTTTTGTCCCCAGACCACTCTTAATTCATCCCACTCACTTTGTGGTCAACATTTGAGGCAGTTCTGAGCATATGCTTCCGGCTGCAGTGGAGCTTGGTGGGGAGAATGGGGCATGAAGCCGTCTTTGTCTTCACAGAGAATATAGTCACACTTGGGGCTAAGATGTGGAAGGGCCAGAAGACACTCTCCACAAGCATTTACTGAGCCCTGTGTACAGGATCCTGTGCAGCACACAGGGGATGGAAAAAGGAAAGCTGTCGTTTCCATCTTCTGGGAGTTCGTGGTATCGATCTTAGGAAACATAATTAAATGTTGAGGGGAAATATCCCAGAAGTGGGGGCATTCTGAGTTTATGCTGGAGGCCAGGACTGATACTGGTGCTTAGAGAAGACTAAGGGCATCCCAGAAGGAGTTCAGCATGGCTTGGACTGTGAAACTCAGAGGTGGGGAGGACGCAGGCCTGGGGCCTTCCCCTCCTAGCGCAGCGGGGATGTTAAGCTGTCCAGATGTCCCTCTCACGTGTCTAATTGATGCCTCTATTTTCTTCTCTGATTCTTCTCTTTTCTCCCTGCTAGTTTAGCCTCCCTACCTGGGCTCTTTTATCTTGTTCTTTCCCCATTCGAGATCCATTTTCATTACTTTAACCCTCAGCTTTCTGAGTATCTTCCCCAACTCTGTCCTCAGGCCTGACCTTTTTCCTAGCATTCCTGTCTGTCATTCCGACGTGGAAGTCCCATCTTTCCTTCAACACCAGCTCCCTTTCCTAGTCTTCTCCCTTCTGTGCATTTTCTCTTCTGCCATAACCCCAAAGCTTATTTTTCATTGACTCCTTTTCCAATAGCCCATAGGCTAGAAATATGGACTCTGGAGCTTGACTTCATGGCTTCGGATCCAAGCTAGGGATGTGGCCCTGAGCAAGTTATTTTATCTCTCTGTACCCCATTTCCTCAATTTTGGTGGGGTTAATAATATACATACCTCATTGAGTTGCTGTGAGCATTAATAACAGTAGTAGCTGAGCACAGTGGCTCACACCTATAATTCTAGCACTTTGGGAGGCCAAGGCAGAAGGATTGCTTGAGCCCAGAAGTTTGAGACCAACCTGAGCAACACAGTGAGGCCTTGTCTCTATAAAAAATTAAAAATAAAGTAGCTGGGTGTGGCAGCACCTATAGTCCCAGATACTAAGAAGGCTGAGGTAGGAGGATCACTTGAGCCCAGGAATTCGAGGCTGCAAGTGAGCTATGATTGTGCCACTGTGCTCTAGCCTGGGCAACAGAGTGAGACCTTGTCTCAAAAAGAACCTCCAGAAGTAATAACTATAAGCATATTTACTGCCTCCGACTAGCTGGGATTACAGACATGTGCCACCATGCCCTGCTCATTTTTGAATTTTCGATAGAGACAGGGTTTCACCATGTTGGCTGGGCTGGTCTCGAACTCCTGGCCTCAAGTGATCCACCTGCCTCGGCCTCCGAAAATGCCGGGATTCTAGGTGTGAGCCCCCGTGCCCAGCACTGGTTGAGTATTCTGTAGAATGTCCCTCCATTGTGATTTGTGTGATGTTTTTTCTCATTATTAGCCTGGGGTTTGGGTTTTGGGGAGGAAGGTCACAGAGATGAAGTGTCAGTCTGATCACATCATACTACAATTGCATACTAATAACATGACTTATCCCTGTTGCTGTTCCTCTTTATCACCTGCCTGAGGCACTGTTTGTCAAGTTTCTCCACTATACAGTTACCTTCTTTTTCTGCCTTCCCATATACTGTATTCCTTAGAAAGAGGACACTGTGTGTAGCCCACACGTACGGCGTGGTGAGACAGGCACCACTCCTAGAGGTGAAGAATCGACATCCATTATTTGGAAATCTGGATGGAGGATTGTCATGTCTCTCCATTTATTTATTTATTCAAACATTTATTTATATCAGTATGGCAACCATGGATCTTTCTGCTCTCTGTACATATATCAATGATGCTTTAAAAACTTTTTTTTAGTGGTTACCCTATAGTTTTCAATATAAATTTACAACTAATCGAAGTCTGCCTTCAAATAACATTATACTGCCCCATGGGTAATGGAGGTGTCTTATAACAGAGCACTCCCCCTTCCTTCCCCTCTTCCTTATGGCATTGCTGCCATTCATTTCACTCATCCATATGCTGTCACCACCCAGTACACTGTTACTATTGTTCATTTAAGCAAATAGTTATCTTCTAAATCAAGAGTAAGGAAAATACAAGATTTTATATTATCATCATTTGTTCCTTCTCTGTCTTCCCGCCTGTCTTCACATAGATTCAAGTTTCTGATCTATGTTATTTTCCTTCCCCATGACAACGGAGGACTGCTGGTGATGAATTCCCTTAGTTTTTGTTTGTCTGAGAAAGCTTTATTTCTCATCCTTGTTGAAGGATAATTTCTCTGGATATTGAATTCTACATTGGTGATTTTTTTCCCTCAACACTTTAAATATTTTGTTTCACTCTCTTCTTGTTTACATGTTGCTCATGAGAAAATCCACTGTCATTCTTACCCTTGTTCTCTATAGGTAAGATTTTTTCCCCTGTCTCCTTTCAAGATTTTCCCTTTGACTTTGGTGTTCTAAAGTTTTAATATAATATGCCTAGGTGTAGATATTTTGGTAGTCATCATGCTTGGCCTTGTCTGACCTTTCTGGATTTGAGGTTTGGGGTCTGCCGCTAATTTTGGAAAATTTTCAGCCATGATTACTTTGGATATTCACCTGCTCTGTTCTCTCTTTCTTCTCCTTATGGCATCCCAATTACATTGTAATTTTAAATGATCAAGTAGAATTGTATTTTTAACATGGAAGGATATACATGCTATATAGTAAGATTAGGGATATGAAATAACAGTAATCATTTATCATTTCTCACAGTTTCTCTGGGTCAGGAATGCAGGTATGCGGGAGAAACAGCTTGCCACACAAAGTCTGGTGTCTCGGCTGAGAGATGTAAAGACTGGAGGTTATAGAATCATTTGAAGCCTCAGCTGTTCACATGTCGGGTAGTTGATGCTTGCTGTTGGCTCACTGCTGTGATCACAGATAGGGCTGTTGGAAGGAGCATCTACCTGTAATGTCTCCATGTGTCTTGGGCTCACAACATGGAGACTAGGCTCCAAAAGTGAGCATCCAGTGAGCCAGGCGAGAGGTGTGTTATTTTACTACCTTTCCTTGGAAGTTACATGCATCATTTCCATTGAATTCTACTGGACAGCTTCAGAGGAAGGAAACATAGAACTCACTTCTTGGTGGGAGAAATGTCAGTGTCACATTAGACAAAGAGCATGTAAGATGAGAGAGAAACTGATGTGGTCATCTTGGGAAAGTATAATCTTCCACATCTGTCAGAATTAAAATATGTATATAGCCTGTAATCCCAGCACTTTGGGAGGCCAAGGCAGGCGGATCACCCTGAGGTCAGGAGTTCAAGACCAGCCTGGCCAACATGACAAAACTCTGTCCCTACTAAAAATACAAAAATTAGCTGGGTGTGGTGGCACACGCCTGTAATCCCAGTTACTTGGGAGGCTGAGGCAGGAGAATCATTTGAACCCAAGAGGCGGATGTTGCAGTAAGCTGAGATAGCGCCACTGCACCCCAGCCTGGGTGACAAAGCAAGACTCTGTCTCAACAAAACAAAACTATATATATATGTGTGTGTGTGTGTATATACACACACACGTGTACACACGTGTACATATATGTGTATAGATGTATCTCTTTTTAGCAGAGACAGTTTTGCTTTAGAGACATATATGTACGTGTGTGTGTGTGTGTGTGTGTGTGTATATGCATAGACTTTGATCCAGTACCTCAGTGTCCTAACAGTTTATCTTATAAACATAGGCATACCCAGAGATATCCATATGAGACTGGTCATTGTGCATTGTGACAGCAAAAAACAGAAACCATCTAAATAATACTAAATAAGGAAAATGGTTAAAATAGTTATGGTATTTATATAGTGGAATATATCATCCAGTAATGAAAAGGAATACGCTTTGGAAGTCCAAGGTGGGTGGATCATGAGGTCAAGAGATTGAGACCATCCTGGCCAACATGGTGAAACCCTGTCTCTACTAAAAATACAAGATTAGCTGGGCGTGGTGGTGTGCAACCTGTAGTCCCAGCTACTCAGGAGGCCAAGGCAGGGAGGCAGAGGTTGCTGTGACCCAAGATGGCGCCACTGCACTCCAGCCTGGCGACAGAGTGAGACTCTGTCTCAAAAAAAAAAAAAAAAAGATGAATGAGGTTTGAGGCTGGACATAGTGGCTCACGCCTGTAATCTCAGCTCTTTGGGAAGCTAAGGTGGAAGAATGGCTTAAGGCCAGGAGCTCAAGACCAGCCTGGGCAACATAGCAAGACCCTGGCTCTACAGAAAAACAAGAGAATTATCTGGGCATGGTGGTACACATCTATAGTCCCTGCTACTCGGGAGGCTCAGGTGGGAAGATCACTTGAGCCCAGGAGTTCAAGGCTGTTGTGAGCTATGATTTATTGCACTACTGCACTCTAGCCTACGCAACAGAGTGAGACCGTCTGTTTAAAAAAAAAAAAGATTTCTATATGCAGATGTGATAAAGATCCATGAAATGCTAGTAAAGCAGGATTGAGAATTTTCCCATTAAAAAAGGATACATGTGTAACCACTGCTAGTTACCTGTAGAATGGGGCCGCTAGTTGGAGTCAGGAGAGAATCCCTAACTTGACACTGCATGTTCTTTTGTATCCTTTCTATTCTTTAGCATGTGTCTGTTTTCATACTGTTTAGAAAATAGTCAAAAGAACACATATGTGTGTAATTTGGATAAAAAATCTGGAATATATTTCTAAAAGGAACAACTTGTCTTGAGTAATGGGATTTAGTATGA